GAGAAAAATATTATTATTATTATTATTATTATTATTTATAAGTGGTCTTTGTCTGCTTTAAATACTTTACTTAAAGCAGACAACGACCACTTACACATAATAAGACCACATTATAAAGCCTTTTGGATGTTTTCATGAATACTTTCTACTTGTCATTTTACAGTAAAAACACTAATAAGATGTACTAAGTTATTGTGCAGATCTTAAACAAAGGTAAGATATGAAACTTATAATACATTATAACTATGGGAAATATAATTCATTGTAACTTAAGTGGATGTTCATTGTGTTATAAATCATCATACTCTTAACAGCTATAACCACAAATAAGTAAGCATTATAATACAGTAAAACTGTTCTTATGATTATTTATGAGATGATACAACATATTATAATGTTTTTTTTAAATAATGCATTATTCATTCATTAAAATGCCTTAAGAATAGCCTTATAATGTATTATAAATACGGGCTTCATAGAAAGTGTTACCAACATATCTCTTAATACGAAAGATGAATACAGAATATGCAAATACAAACTAGTTTGTGTTTTGATGACGAAAGTGCCCCCATGTCCTCTCATATATTGGACACACCAAACAATCTAAATATTTTCTTATAGTATTAGTTTAAAAAATGACAAATAACCGCAATTTGATATGATGACATGTTTGTGGTATTAGGGTTTTTGGTGGATATGAATTCATTAATCCGCGTGGTGTCACTATAGCCCGTTGAATTTCGAGCTGTCTCCAGTGTCTGGAAGCCCCTCCTGGTTTTAGCTGGGAGGAGACTTCACACGGCTTTGTTTCAGAGACTGGACGTTTAAGAGAGTGTCCGAAGGCCTCCTGTTTTCTCTTCGCTAAAATGGAATATTGTCTAATGTTTCTTTATTCGCATTGATGGACTTGGAATACCGTCTTTTATTTCGTGGATCACTGCACGGGATTCACTGGATGTAATAATGTTCTCGCCGTACAGAAGGAAATCTATTGTGGCCTGTATTGTGCTCGTTGTTTTAGAGTGTTGTTGGGACGCGGTATCAGGGCAGCTCTCTTATTCTGTATCAGAGGAGGTGAATCCGGGAACATCAGTGGGAAATATCGCTAAGGATCTAAACCTTAATGTTCAGGAACTGGAATCGCGCATGTTTCAGATTGTCACGGGATCCAAGAAAAAATATTTCGAGGTAAATCTAAAAACTGGGTTTCTGTATGTGAGCGAAAGAATAGACAGAGAGGAGCTTTGTGCCAAAGCACCAAAATGTACACTCAATGTAGAAGCGGTTATCAACAATCCACTGAAGCTTTATCAAATAGAAATTAATATTGTGGATGTAAATGACAATTCTCCGTCTTTCAGCGAGAAATCACAAACGCTAGAAATTGCTGAGACCACCACTCTGCCCGGTGTTAGATTTCCTCTCCATCATGCTACAGACGCAGATGTTGGGAAACATTCAATAAATACTTACAAGCTTAGTACGAACGAGTATTTTTCTTTAGCTGTCCACAAAGGAGGGGAACAGAGTGTGTCTGCTGAATTAGTGCTGCAGAAAGCTTTAGATCGAGAGAAACAGCCTGTGATCCAGCTCACAGTGACCGCTGTAGACGGAGGAACCCCTTCTAAAACAGGCACATCTCTTATCATTATCAAAGTTTTAGATATTAATGATAATGCTCCTGCTTTCAGTAAGCCCTTGTATAAAGCAACCGTTTTTGAAAATGTGGCTATTGGAACGACAATTGTGGCGTTAAATGCGACAGACTTTGATGAAGGTACTAATAGTGATATTGTTTATTCTATAATTAAAAGAGATCAGAATAAAATCCTGCAGGGTGGTGTTCCCTGCGCCATTTCCGCCTGCAGATGCAGAACTGATCAGTATTAATGGAGGAGACACTTTTACCAGAACACAAACATTTCCTAACAAAGAGAAGGTAAGGCTCGTTCCTTGAAGCGCAGATATTTGTGTGAAGTTTTTTATATAGAATTTAGCATTTGCTCACGTTTTAGGTTATAGGCTTAATAAACTGAAAGCTCGTTTCTAGAACTGGTTTTATTATTATTTCTAATGTCAACAATATATTATTTTTTAAACACGTGTGCAGATTTTCGCCATTTAAAAAAAAAACCCGATCAGCTGAATCTGCTTTTTATTTCGTGATGTTAAAGTTATTTCAAGAGCTCTCTAATGTATTTTGTTTTTGTTTTTGTAATACTAATAATAATGATTATTATTATTATTATTATTATTATTGCATCTTATGCTAAAATTACGCTTTTCAATAACAGCATGTATTGTATTTGTATGTTTCTATTTGGCTATTATTCAGATTTGATCATTTTTATAGGCCTAACATATTTTCACAGTATCTTAGATTATCTGATGGCAATCAGTAGCATCTTATTTTCATGAATATCTGGTGAATTGTTTTCTACGTTATCTTTTTAAAATACGTGTAATTTTGAGATCAGAAAATGTTGGGCATTTTCAAGTATTGAACATGATTGTCCACACGGTGTCAGTGGCAACCCATGTAAGTTTTCTTGTGTCTTTGGAAAGCTCCTCCTTTCATTGGGTAGGGATCCTCGCCTCGTCAGAGGTCTTTGTTCGAGAGGACAGGGCCGCCTTGGAGTCGCTATGTCGGTGTCTTTGCGAAAGCAGTAAGGCTGTAATGGAATATTTGAATGATACATTTTTTGTTTAATCTACAGTTTTACTAATCAGAGGAAATATGGACCTAACAGATGACTGTTGGAGCTTTAAGTGGATTTTTATTGTGTTTTACTTTAATAACTGGAATAACGCAAACGGGCAGATTGTGTATTCTGTGTCGGAGGAGGTGAACACCGGCACCACGGTAGGAAATTTAGCAAATGATCTAAACTTGAATGTACAAGACCTTGAGAGGAGAGGGTTTCAGGTCGTCACAGGACCTAACCAAAGATATTTTGATCTACATGCAAAAAATGGTATTCTCTTCGTTAGAGAAAGAATAGACCGAGAGGAGCTGTGCGGTCGGAGCTCTAAATGCGCGTTAGAGTTGGAGGCTATTGTTAGTGCGCCGATGAACATATACAGATTTGAGGTAAATATTTTAGACGTTAATGACAATGCACCGACATTTCGCACCTCAAAATTGTATCTTAATATTTCTGAACAGACATTTCCAGGGCAGAGATTTACATTACCAAGTGCTTTCGATCTCGATGTTGGAGTTAATTCGATAAAAAGCTATAAGCTGAGTCCGAATGAGCACTTTTCTTTGGATGTGCAAAACGGAGGAGATCAGAGTGTATCTGCAGAATTAGTGCTGCAGAAAGCTTTAGATCGAGAGAAACAGCCGGTGATCCAGCTCACACTGACCGCTGTCGACGGAGGAAAGCCTCCAAAATCTGGTACGACGCAGATCATAGTTAATGTAGTAGATGTGAATGATAATATTCCTGTGTTCGACAAGCCACTTTATAAAGCGCGGATACCAGAAAACTCACCGCCCGGTGCTTCTGTGATCACAGTGAACGCAAAAGATGCAGACGAGGGGCTAAATGGTGAAGTAATCTACTCCTTTATAAATCATGATAATGATAACACTGTAAATGCTTTCTCTATCAATCCAATTACTGGTGAGATAACCATAAAGGACCCCATAGATTATGAAGAAACTGCTGCAATTGAAATTCGTGTTCAGGCCGAGGATAAAGGCCCAAATCCACGAGCATCACATTGTAAGGTCTTAGTCGAAGTAATTGACCTAAATGATAACGTACCAGAAATAAGCGTAATGTCTTTGGTTAATGAAGTGAGAGAGGATTCGTCTCCAGGTACAATGGTGGGATTAATCACAGTAAAAGATGGCGACGCTGGTAAAAATGGTGTTGTGCAGCTCAAAATAAAGGACGCTCTGCAATTTAGATTAGACAATACATACAGAAACAGATATTCGTTAATGGTTAACGGTCCGCACACTTTTACCAGAACACAAACACTTCCTAATAAAGAAAAGGTAAGCGAGCAAACACATTATTCTGTTTGCTGTGGTTTAGAACTGCTGTTTTCATTTCTTGCAATATTCTTGCTGTATATGAATATATATATATAGGATCTGTATATATATATATATATATATATGTGTGTGTGTGTGTGTGTGTCAAACTGAGGGGAAAATAATTATTAACCATTACATTTTTTTCTCCTTTAAATATTTTATTTCTTTTGCTCATAGGTTTAAAAAACATTTTTCGTCTTTTCCACTAACGCATCCTCTCCGTGTTGCTGAAAACGCTAATGTAAAAAGTACTTTAAACCTATTGTTTGCAACTAGTAGGCTTATTGGCTCTTTGATTCTCATTTACATTCACTATATCATCCACATCTTTTAATTTTAATTTGTCTTCTGTCCCGTCTCGTCCTCCTAAATAATTTGTGCTGTCCATGGTGCTGATAGCGTTGACCATAAATAACATTATAATCATGCATTTTACACCGCTGGCTTGATTTATTGGACAGTTTCAATTGTTGCTTTTATTTAGTAATTTCGATTTGTGTGTTTTTAATTGCAGTATGTCAAGTACATGAGCGGTTGTGTTTATGGAGTTTTTAAATCTCAGGTCACGCTGATTCAACCATAAATACATATTAGCTTAGTAATGAAATATAAATTATTAATTTTAAATTATTTTATTTTTAATTAATTAATTAATAAGATCATGTGATTTCATTAGTGTTTGTCCAGAGACATTTTCACTCATGTTCAGCAAAATGGAGACAGACTTTGTCCATTTCACTTCAAACATATTTAGCCTCTCAATATATAATTGTCTGTTCCATACTATGTACATCCACGAGGTGTCATCAGCGACCTGAGTTAAAATTATCTGTTCTCTCTCTCTCTCGCTCTCTCTCTGCGAGACTCCTCCCCGTTTTGGGGGCAGGGCGTTTGAGCTGCAGAGGGCTTTGTTCGTGAGAAGGCACAATATAGATTTTCTGAATCGTAGTGCAGAACGTGGTTTATTTTACTACAACAGTCTGCGGATGTTTTTAATGTGTTTAGTTTTCCTGTGGATGTGATGCTGACGGATCATGGCGAATTCACTAAAGGAACGAAATATATTGTGGATATATATGACTGTATTTTATTTTCTTCCGAGGATATCTTCCGGGCAGATTGTGTATTCTGTTTTGGAGGAGGCCAGTCCGGGGACTACAGTAGGCAATATAGTAAAAGATTTAAACCTTAATTTGCAAGAACTGGAAAACCGTGGATTTCAGATCGCTTCTGGACCCAACAAGAGGTATTTCGATGTAAATATGAAAACGGGAATACTTCAAATTAAAGATAAAGTAGACAGAGAGGAGCTATGTGGACGTATCTTAAAATGTGCCTTAGAATTGGAGGCCATTGTTAATTCGCCATTGAACATGTACCGATTTGAAGTACATGTATTGGATATAAACGACAATTCTCCAACATTTCACTCTTCATCGTTACAATTAAATGTATCTGAAGCGGCATTTATAGGGGAAAGGTATGCATTACCAAACGCTTTAGACGCGGATGTGGGCAGTAATTCGGTAAAGAGCTACAAACTCAGTGCAAATGAACACTTTTCTCTCGATGTTCAGAGCGGAGGGGAACAGAGTGTGTCCGCAGAGTTAGTGCTGCAGAAAGCTTTAGATCGAGAGAAACAACCGGCGATTCAGCTCACACTGACCGCTGTAGACGGAGGAAAACCTCCAAGATCAGGAGCAATAAGTATAACTGTTAATATCATAGATGCAAACGACAATATCCCTGTGTTTACAAAGTCACTTTACAAAACACGAATTCCAGAAAATGCTCCCATTGGAACTTCCGTTATCACAGTACACGCGAGTGATGCGGACGATGGACAAAACGGAGAGATTGTATATTAATTCATTAAACATGTTAATGATAGAAATATCGAGTCATTCGCAATCAATCAAGTTTCTGGTGAAATAACAGTTCATGGTAAATTAGACCACGAATCAATTAATGCTATTGAAATACGTGTGCAAGCGAGAGATAGAGGTCCGCTTCCAAGAGCAGCTCATTGTAAAGTATTGGTCGAAATAATGGACATTAACGACAATATTCCGGAAATATCTGTAACGTCTTTTGTTAATGTTGTGAAGGAGGATTCACAAAAAGGGACAATGGTCGGTCTGATTACAGTAAAAGATGACGATTCTGGCGAAAATGGATCTGTAAAATTGAAAATAGTCGATTCCCTTCCGTTTGTATTACAGAACACTTATAAGAATAAATATTCTATGTTGTGTGCGTGTCCGTCATCTTTTTACTGAGTCTCATCAGTTTGATGGCTGTGAAATGCCACAGGACAGACAGGAGTTTGGGCAGGTACAGCGCCCCGATGGTCACCACACACCCTGACGGGAGCTGGTCTTACTCCAAATCTGCTCAGCAGTATGACGTGTGTTTTAACTCGGACACACTGAAGAGTGACGTGGTGGTGTTCCCTGCGTCATTTCCGCCTGCAGATGCAGAACTGATCAGTATTAATGGAGGAGACACTTTTACCAGAACACAAACATTTCCTAACAAAGAAAAGGTAAGAATGTAAATATGTAGCTACATACGAGGATTTAAAAAAACAATTTATTTATTCATTTATTTTTATTTTTTGTTTGCTGCTGCTTTTTGCTGTCCATGGTACTGAAACTCTCTATTGTTATTGACCATACGCGGCTTTGAATTTTTCTCTATACCATCTAGGTGTTTCAGCTGATTTCAGTCTTCTTTTCCATCTTCAACTTCCTGTTCTTCTTTCTAATGTTGTTTTTGCCTTGGTGGATTTTTAAAGAGTAGAAAAAAATTATACATTTCAAAAATAATAAATACATACAACAATACAAACGTTCTCAGAGTTTAATACTTAAGAGATTTTTAAAACTTGTTTTCTGCTAAAAACACAAAAGTTTTAGTACATCTGTCAACAACACTGTGAAACATCATGTTTTCTTTTTTAACTGATTGTTTTTATTATTATTATTATTATTATTATTATTATTATTATTATTATTATTTGCCTTTTCTGGAAAAGCCTGTCTTAATCATACAACAGTTTTACCGTGCACATTCAGCGGTTTATATACATGCTATGAGTTGTCAAATATTTCTGCTCTTCCACTAGAGGTCACCATCAGTCCATGGTTAATGTCTTTGCTTTTGTGTTCGCGTGTCTCCGCCTTGTTTTTCGCAGCGGGTGTAGCGTCAAATGGCTTTGTTCGAACGATGCTACAGCTCTCAGCCTCCTCTCTGCTTTAGTGAATAAAAGACGAAACTAGAACGAATGCTGATATCTTGATGAATATTGTCTTTGTTTTCAAACGGAATATGGCAATAGCTTTGGTCCATGATTGTCTTCCAACGATTCTTTTATATATGTTGTTTTTCTTTGGGAGTATCGCCGACGGGCAGGTTGTATATTCAGTGTCGGAAGAAGCAAACCCGGGAACAACAGTCGGCAACCTTGCAAAGGATTTAAAACTGAATTTACAGGATTTACATAATCGAGGATTTCAACTAGTATCTGGAACAAATAAGAGGTATTTCGATTTAAATACAAAAACTGGAATTCTTCATATTAAAGACGGAATCGATAGAGACGAACTGTGCGGACGGAGCTTAACATGCTGTCTCCCATTGGAAGCTATTGTTAATGTGCCATTAAACGTTTACCGTTTTGAAGTTAACATTATAGATATAAATGATAACACACCTACATTTCGCTCTTCTGTGAAATATTTTAATATATCAGAGTCGGCATTTCCAGGTGAAAGATTTCCATTGCCGAATGCGTTTGACGCTGATGTGGGCAGTAATTCAGTAAAGAGCTACAAACTGAGCGCGAATGAACACTTTTCTCTGGATGTTCAGAGCGGAGGAGAGCAGAGTGTGTCTGCTGAATTGGTGCTGCAGAAAGCTTTAGATCGCGAAAAACAACCAGTGATCCAGCTCACAGTGACCGCTGTAGACGGAGGAAAACCTCCAAGGTCAGGGACAATAAATCTAATTGTTAATATTGAGGATGTGAATGATAACATTCCAGTGTTCAGTAAACCTCTATTGAAAGTTCGAGTAGTAGAAAACGCACCGCTTGGCACCTCCGTAATCCAAGTTCACGCCAGTGATCCAGATGAGGGACTAAACGGTGAAATCGCATATTCATTAGTGAGCCAAGATAGCGATAATAATGTAGATGTATTCTCGATAGATTCTGAAACCGGTCTTATAACTGTGAAAGATACTGTAGACTATGAAAAAGGCGCTGCTGTTGAAATTAGAGTACAAGCTAAAGACAAAGGCCTTAAACCACGAGCCGCATACTGCAAAGTGTTGGTGGAGATAATGGACATAAATGACAATAGACCAGCAATTGCTGTTACCTCCTTAGTAAATACTGTTAACGAAGACGCAGCTAATGGTACAGTGGTTAGTATGATAACTGTACTGGATAATGATGCGGGAAAGAATGGGGAAATTCAGCTTAAGGTTCGCGATTCGTTGCCATTCAAAGTTCAGAACTCGTACAAGAACTATTATACCCACTGAAGAGTGACGTGGTGGTGTTCCCTGCGCCATTTCCGCCTGCAGATGCAGAACTGATCAGTATTAATGGAGGAGACACTTTTACCAGAACGCAAACACTTCCTAATAACGAAAAGGTAAGATATTTTTTTTTATTAAAATTGAGGAAAACACATTATTCTCTTCACTGTGGTTTAGAACTGATGTTTCTTTTCTTGAATTATTCGTGCTGAATATCATTTTTTTCCATATTAAGAATGCGGGGAGGAAATTATGAACCATTACCTTTTTTTTCTTCCTAAATATTTTATTTCTGTTGCGCACATGTTTAGAATGTAGTTCTATCGTGATCGTCTTTTGCTCTAAGGCCCTCTGTCCGTGGTGCTGAAAACGCAAATATGAAATCCACTGTTCTTTCATCTTATATTGCCATGTATATGTTGTGGCGAATTTAGTCTTTGTTTAGTTTTCGAGCTATATATCGAACTGCCGTCCTCTCTGTTGTCTTGACTGTTTATTGTTTTGCTTGTGGTTGCAAAGTATTGTAATTATTAATTTAGAGTGCACATATAGATTTTTCGCACAGTGGACATTGCATTTACATGGTGCTTATTCTTAATATGTATTTGGAGCTGTTTGTGGTACTGAACACCTGGCGCCAAAACATCAAGATATCAGATTTTGTCACATCCGATCACAAGGCCTCATTTTTTCTTGTGGTCAGAATCACAACATTTATAGGATGCAATACAGAACAAACAAATAAACAAATGAGAACGATAGAGAAATACATTTTTGGCACGTTTGGTATAGCATTTTTAATGTAATGAAACTTCATTTTCCCTAGTTTTAATTTTATTTAAATGCAGTGTGAATTGACAAAACTTACAGACATAAAACAGTATATATACAATTAAGTTTTTGGTGAGTTTTAATTATCCACTAATAACATTGTTCAATAATATAAGTAAATAGTTTTAAATTATTCTATTGTGATTTGAAAGATATTGGGTCCCTTCTTACTGAATTATCTTCACCCCAATTTGTCCGCGCGGTGTCGTTAGAGACTGGGATTTCATCTTACCTCAGCTATGCAAAGCTCCTCCTCAGTTAGGGAGGGTTCAGTTTATCACGTGGGGCTTTTGTTCGTGAAAGGCCACAGTACTGTCTCTGTTTTTGCATGAGCTGTGAGGAATTACGGCGTTGTTTGGTTATTACCGAATGGATGAGACTGATTTATTGAAGGAATTATGAAAATGCCGAAACGCGGATTTAAATGGTGGATGTATTTTATTGCAACGTTTTCAATTTGGAATATTACCGATGGGCAGATTGTGTATTCGGTATCGGAGGAGGCGGATCCGGGAACCACAATGGGAAATATAGCGAGAGATTTGAACCTAAATCTTCAAGATTTAGAGCATCGTGAATTTCAAATCGTTTCAGGCCCAAATAAGAGGTATTTCAGTGTTAATTTAAAAAGTGGTGTTGTTCTCGTCAAAGAGAGAATAGACAGGGAACAGTTATGCGGAAGGAGCAATAAATGCTCTCTGGAATTAGAAGCTATTGTTAATTCCCCCTTAAACATGTATCGACTGGAGGTGAATGTTTTAGACATAAACGATAACTTTCCCACTTTTAAGTCACCAAAGACGGAACTAAATATTGTAGAATCAGCCTTCCCGGGGGAGAGATTTACTTTACCAAGTGCGTTTGACGCTGATGTGGGCAGTAATTCGGTAAAGAGCTACAAGCTGAGTCCGAATGAGCATTTTTCTCTGGATGTTCAGAGCGGAGGAGAGCAGAGTGTGTCTGCTGAATTAGTGCTGCAGAAAGCTTTAGACCGAGAGAAACAGCCTGTTATCCAGCTCACACTGACCGCTGTAGACGGAGGAAAACCTCCCAAATCAGGAACATCGCAAATTATTATTAATGTTGAGGATGTTAATGATAATATTCCTGTATTTAGTAAATCTCTTTACAAAACACGAATAACGGAAAATGCGCCCCAAGGCACCTCTGTTGTCACGGTCCATGCTAGTGATGCTGACGAGGGTTTAAATGGAGAAATAATGTATTCATTTATAAGCCATGATGAGGATAGTGTGGTAAACGCTTTTACCATTGATTCTGTCAGTGGTGTAATCTCAGTTAAAGGGAATATTGATTACGAAACTAGCAATGCTGTAGAAATTCGTGTCCAAGCAAAAGATAAAGGCCAGAAACCAAGGGCTGCTCATTGTAAAGTTTTAGTTGAAATTGTTGATGTTAATGATAATGTACCTGAAATTTCCGTGACATCTCTTGCTGAAACAGTGAGAGAAGACGCTGCTGCTGGTACAATGGTGGGATTGATCGCCGTTAAAGATGAAGACGCAGGAAAAAATGGAGCAGTGGTTCTTAAGTTATGCGATTCTGCATATTTTCGTATACAGAATACTTACAAAAATAAATATTCTCTGGTTGTAGATGAAAAAGGTAACAGTTATTTGTCCCGTCGTATTACACATGTAATGCGTTTTTTTCTTGGAAATGAAGATTTTATATTATTATGCACTACAGACAATCAATCAATCAATCTACATTTTTCGTACAAGGTGATACATTTAGCTGAATGCAAACTGTTTAATCTAAGAGGTTTGCAGAGCAAGCTTCTTTTTAAACACGTTTCAACTTTTTAAAAGCCCCCTTTGTGTGTCTCTTTGTGCTGTTTAAGTAAATCTTTCAGATATTTTTAATATTTTTGTTAATTTGCAGTTCAATTGAAATAGTTAGACACTTGAAAAATATATATCAAGTCGTTTTATTCTGGTTAGTCAGTTAGTCAGTTATTTAGTTGGTTGGTTCAAAAATAATGTTTTGCTTTCTATGTTCAATGTGATACACTGTTTTTCCGCGCGATGTCAGTATCTGCCTGTTGTTTGAGCGTTCCTGATAAGATGAGGCTCCTCCTATTGTTCTTGTTGTATCTTCCTGGATAAGGGCTTTGCTAGTCGTACGCCATTGTCCTCGGAAACAGACCACTCGTTGATTTAGCAGAAAACGTCTTACAGACATGCGGGAGAATGTCGGTGATTTAGCATACACAGCAATGGTTTGGTAAAATGGCTTTAACAGAGGGGCATATTTTGAACGTGTGGATATTTTTTAGTATCTTTCTTCGATTTGGGATTTTTGCAGATGGACAGATTGTGTATTCCATAACGGAGGAGGCAAATCCAGGCACGACAGTTGGAAATTTAGCTAAGGATTTTAACTTGAATTTACAGGACATTGAAAGACGTGGATTTCAAATCGTGTCGGAGACCAACCGAAGGTATTTCGATTTGAATTTAAAGACTGGTGTTCTTCACGTTAAGGAGAGAATAGACCGAGAGGATCTATGTGAACAGAATGCGAAGTGTTCTTTACCTCTAGAAGCAATTGTTAACTCTCCTTTGAATATATATAGATTTGAGGTAAACGTACTAGATATTAATGATAATCCACCATTATTTCGTACCTCAAAGACAACACTAAATATTTCAGAATTAGCTTTTCCAGGGGAGCAGTTCGCTCTGCCGAGCGCGTTTGACGCGGACGTGGGCAGTAATTCGGTAAAGAGCTACAAGCTGAGCGCGAATGAACACTTTTCTCTGGATGTTCAGAGCGGAGGAGAGCAGAGTGTGTCTGCTGAATTGGTGCTGCAGAAAGCTTTAGATCGAGAGAAACAGCCATTAATTCAGCTCAAACTCATCGCTGTAGATGGAGGAAAACCTCCAAGATCAGGAACAATGCAAATAATCGTAAATGTTGAAGATGTCAACGATAACATTCCTGTTTTCAGTAAATCATTGTATAAAGCTCGTCTAAATGAAAACTCGCCACCTGGTACTTCTGTTGTTACAATTCAGGCCAGCGACCCAGATGAGGGTGTAAATGGTCAGATTGTTTATGCTTTAGTTAACCACGATAATGATAAAAATGTCGAATCATTTTCAATAGATCCTGAAACTGGAGAGATTACTGTGAAAGGTAATGTAGATTACGAAAGAAAAAATGCTGTGGAGCTCCGCGTGCAGGCACAAGATAAAGGGCATAAACCTAGAGCTGCTCTTTGTAAAGTGCTACTTGAAATTGTTGACATTAACGATAATGTTCCAAAAATCTCTGTAACATCTTTGATAAATAATGTCAGAGAAGATGCTCCGATTGACGCAATGGTTGGTATGATAACAGTCATTGATAGTGATGCTGGTAAAAACGGACAGGTAACGTTAAAAATGCAGGGCTCTGCTCCTTTTAAAGTTCAGAACTCGTACAAGAATTATTATACCTTAAGTATTAATGGAGGAGACACTTTTACCAGAACACAAACATTTCCTAATAAAGAAAAGGTAAGACATTTTTATTACACGTGAGGAAAACGCTTTGGTTAGAGCTGCTGTTTCTACTTTTACATTTTCGTGCTGTATATTGCTAATTTAAGTGATTTTATGTAAGGTTTGAGGGGAAATAAGAATCCGTATTACCTTATTTCTCCCTAAAATAATCTACTCTGGTTTCATGGAGATTTAAAGTGCATTTTTATCGTCTTTTGCACTAACGCACTCTGTCCGTGGTGCTGAAAACGCAAACGTTCATATCTGTTCTTTCAGGGCGTTAGTGAGTTGATGAAAAGCTAAATTAATTTATTACATTAGAACTAAATAATACAATTATTTTTTTTAAATAACAAATTTAAGATTGAAATGTGTAATAACGTAGTCTTTATGAGAACAGAGCTGCGTTGTTTACAGAGGTGGTCTCGTGAAAATGCATATAAATAGTACGTCAAATACAAACAGAAATTCGTGCTATTGACACGCAGAAATTGACTTTGCCTTGCATATGATACACATGTGTTTGATGTGCATATAATATGCCGTTTTCGCGTGCACATGATAAGCATCAACCCCACAACCCTAATCATACCCATTGCGTATCATGTGCAAGTCAAAGTCAAATTCTGCGTATAAATAGTAGGCCAAATCGAAACATAAACGCGTGCTATTGATACGCACTTTCATGAGTTCGTTTTGTACCGTGGAAACAACCCTGTTTCTGCTGTTCCATTAGCAGAGTGAGACAGTGGATTTGCGATTTTATTCAGCCTGTCTGTTGCTTTTGTTCAGGCCAATGCGAAAATTGGGCCAAAATTGTGTTGGTAATCTTAACTGGAAGATGGAAAACAAACTAATGTGCATTCTTAAAATCTCAACACTTCAATAATAAAGTAGCCTATGTAGAATTGTTTATGGAGCAGATAAAATGCCTATAATGTATCATTGTGACTCATACTTTTCTTTAAAAAATGATGTAAAGGATGAAATATGAGGTTTATAATTTTATGAAACTTTTTTTTTAGTCAAAACTTTTTAGCATGTAGTGCATGTTGGTATATAACATGTTATGTTGTAAGTCAAAAAATCAATATTTTTTATTTATTTATTTTTTTTTTTTTTTGGTTTTCAGCATATTTTCAGTGTGAGTATGAGTACTTCTGGAACATTTCCAGCACCTTTTAACAATACACTGATAATATTGATAACTGTGATCATTTTGGTTACTACAATCATGAAATGAAATGTTATGCCATTTTATGTCTAATAACAATAGCTATGTGAAATAATTCTGATTGAAAAAAAAAACTTTTAAACGGATAAAAAATATTTTTCAAGTAAACATGGAAATATGGCATTCCATTATTAAATATTTACTTAGAATCTCAGGAGGGGTTCTTCAAGTAAATAATTTAGGCCACAGGGGTTCGGGTTACAAAAACGTTTGAAAACCACTGCCCTTAAATAAGTAATATATTTCCGATTCAGGTCTTTTAATTGTGTCTTGTACTTTTATTTTATTTTATTTTCATTTTTTAGTTAATTAATTAATTAATTTCCCAATTAAATAGCCTTGTTAAGTGTGTGCATTCAATGCCACTGTTATGATTAGATAGCCAGTCTGATGTGGACACTTACTCCATTCTAGGAATTATCTAATTTATTTTAATTGTATGCTCTTATAACCGAAAGATTAAACAGCAAAATATTTTATTTAGAAACAGTGTAGTTTGCAGTTGTCCGCACGATGTCACTAGCCTTCCATTTTTACAGGAGAATTTTCTTGACTCCACTAAGCTCCGCCTCATTTGGAAGCTTCCCGAGCGGAGAGGCTTTGTTCAGAATTCGCCATTGTGTCTAGAAGCTGCTGTAGCGTGTGGTTTCCTGTGAATATTTCCTGAGTGACTATGCTATCGGATTTTTATCACTTTGGCATATCCAGAAGGTTTAGAGACAATGGCGTCCAAAGGGCAATCAAGAATCCGCGTTGGGATTTCTGTGTACTTTCTGTGTTGGCTTTGGAATATAGCGGGCGGACAGGTGGTGTATTCGGTGTCGGAGGAAGCAAACCCAGGCACTACAGTTGGGAATTTGGTGAAGGATTTTAATCTGAATATTCAGGATCTTGAGGTACGAGGGTTTCATATCGTTCCGGGACCGAACAAGAGGTATTTCGATTTTAATACTAAAACTGGAAATCTCCATGTCAGAGAGAGAATTGATCGAGAAGAGATTTGCGAGCAGCATATTAAATGCTCTCTACCTTTAGAAGCCATGATTAGCTCCCCATTGAATATTTACCGATTTGAGATACGTGTTTTTGACATTAATGATAATGCACCAGCATTTCGGACATCAATAACAAATTTGAATGTCAGCGAATCCGCTATTCCAGGGGAGAGATTTCCATTACAGAGCGCGTTTGACGCGGATGTGAGCAGTAATTCGCTGAAGAGTTACAAGCTGAGTCCAAATGAACACTTTTCTCTGGATGTACAGGGCGGTGGAGATCAGAGTGTGTCCGCAGAGTTAGTGCTGCAGAAAGCTTTAGATCGAGAGAAACAGCCTGTTATCCAGCTCACACTGACTGCTGTTGACGGAGGAAAACCTCCCAAATCTGGTACAACAGAGATTATAGTTAAGGTTGTGGATGTTAATGATAATATTCCTGTTTTCAGTAAGTCTTTGTATAAATCCAAATTAACTGAAAATGCAGCACGTGGTACTCACGTGCTATCTGTTCAAGCAGTTGATTTGGATGAGGGTGTGAACGGTGAAATCATTTATTCAATAGTTAATCACAACAATGACAAAAATGTTGACTCATTTTCGATAAACTCAGAAACAGGTGAAATTACTGTAAAAAAAGATGTGGATTACGAGCAGAGGAATGCAATCGAACTCAGAGTACAAGCAAAAGACCGAGGTTATAACCCGAAAGCAGCACACTGTAAAGTATTGGTCGAGGTCTTGGATGTCAATGACAACATTCCGGAGATATCTGTGACGTCTTTAGTGAGCACTGTTAAAGAAGATGCTCCGATTGACACAATGGTTGGAATGATAACTGTAGCTGATAATGATGCTGGTAAAAACGGAGAGGTAACCTTAAACATGCAGGGCTCTGCTCCATTTAAAGTTCAGAACTCGTACAAGAATTATTATACCCAGCGACTGTGTCTATTGATGTTGTGGTTGTTGAAAGCGCAGGTGACGACAAGACCACATTCAGACACGCGCCGATAAAAGAGGAGAGTTTCTCGGATTTAAATCTGTATTTGCTGATCGCCATTGTGTGCGTGTCCGTCATCTTTTTACTGAGTCTCATCAGTTTGATGGCTGTGAAATGCCACAGGACAGACAGGAGTTTGGGCAGGTACAGCGCCCCGATGGTCACCACACACCCTGACGGGAGCTGGTCTTACTCCAAATCTGCTCAGCAGTATGACGTGTGTTTTAACTCGGACACACTGAAGAGTGACGTGGTGGTGTTCCCTGCGCCATTTCCGCCTGCAGATGCAGAACTGATCAGTATTAATGGAGGAGACACTTTTACCAGAACACAAACACTCCCTAATAAAGAAAAGGTAAGATATAACATATAAAGCATTTTTTAAATTGATTTCATTTTAATTTGTCAGATGCAATTGTCAAATGCGTAAAACGTAAACAAATGCTTTTATATTTCAAAAATGTATGGATATTGAGAATAAAAATATATATATTTGAACTGATACTGTCATTATAGTTGTTTCTTCTAAGCCACTTGGTGTCAGTATAGAACTGATTTGCAACTTTTGTGCGCGCCCACGTTGACTCCTCCTCAATCGCCTTTGAGCGCGCGCTCATACGCTTTGTTCTGTTTCGTCTTTATGGCTGTATGCACTGAAACAAAATGGCATATAGGGCAATATAACCAAAGTATGGAACCTGTTTTATTAATATTCTTTTTGCGGCGATTGATGAAGTTTACAAAATAGATGCGTAATGGCTCGTCTTTGCTGGACCGTTGTGTGTCTGGTTGTGCTGCGCTTGCTGTCTATAGCCTCAGCCCAGATCGCATATTCCATTTCAGAAGAGGTGAACACGGGGACGTTTGTTGGAAATATCGCAAAGGATCTTAATTTGAATGTTCAAGAACTGGAATCACGCGGATTTCATATCCCCGCAGTTTTAGGAAGAAAATATTTTGAGGTTAATTTGAAAACTGGTGTGCTGTTCGTCAGCGAAAGGATCGACAGGGAGAACTTTTGTCCTGCCGCACCGCAATGTTCAGTGAATTTAGAAGCCATTGTTAACAATCCGTTAAACCTGTTTCGCATTGCGATAAATGTTTTAGATATTAATGACAATGCTCCATCGTTTCGTGTTAGGTCTAAACAATTTAACATATCAGAGAATGCCTTTGTTGGAGACCGATTTCAGTTGCCGAGAGCATCGGATCCTGATGTTGGCGCGAACTCGGTAAAGAGCTATAAGCTGAGTCCGAACGAGCACTTCTCCCTGGATGTACAAAGCGGAGGAGAGCAGAGTGTGTCGGCTGAGTTAGTGCTGCATAAAGCTTTAGATCGAGAAAAACATCCTGTGATCCAGCTCACATTGACTGCTGTAGATGGAGGAAAACCTCCCAAATCAGGTACAATTCAGATAGTCATAAATGTGCAAGATGTGAATGACAACGCACCCGTGTTTGGCAAAGCTCTTTACAAAGTGCGTCTTGTTGAAAATGCATCAGTGGGAACATTGGTCATAAATCTGAGTGCCACTGATTTAGATGAGGGTGTAAATAGTGAAATTATGTATTATTTAGTTCACCAAGACAACGATGACAAAACAAACGGCGTTTTTAAAATTGATTCTTCTACCGGCGTGATTTCAGTGCAGGGCAGTGTGGATTTTGAGCAACACAATGCTTACGAGATTCATGCTCAGGCTAAAGACAAAGGGTCCAGTCCGCGATCCGCTCACTGTAAAATATTAGTAGAGGTGTTAGATATAAACGACAACGAGCCAGAAATATCATTAACGTCACAAGTGAACACAGTAAGGGAGGATGCTAAAAAAGAAACAACGGTTGCTTTGATAACCATATCGGACAAAGACTCGGGAAAGAATGGGAATACGCATGGGAAAGTGGTAGGTGATGTTCCTTTTAAATTGCAGTCGTCATATAAGAATTATTATTCTCTTGTAGTGGATGGGCCATTGGATAGAGAGCGTGTTGATCGATATAATGTCACAATCATGGCGTCAGATGAAGGGACTCCACCTCTTTCTGCCGCTCGTGTTTTTACAGTGTATGTATCTGATGTTAATGACAATCCGCCACGTTTCCCAAATCCTGTCATAAATATCTTTGTAAAAGAAAATGGCCCTAAAGGCCAAATCATTTACACTATTTCAGCTGTTGATCCAGATTTAGATGAAAATTCCAAAATTACTTATGGATTATTACCACTTCATAAATCTGGAAATGCATATTCTGTTGTAAGTATAAACCCTGATAGTGGGGATATACACAGTTTACAATCGTTTAACCATGAGGAGATAAAAATGTTTGAGTTTAAAGTTCAGGCCACAGACTCTGGTGTTCCTCCGCTCAGCAGTAACGTGACTGTAAATGTTTTTATCCTGGATGAGAATGACAACAGTCCCGGGATTCTCGCGCCCTATTCCGAGCTCGGTTCCGTTAACACCGAGAACATTCCCTATTCTGCTGATGCGGGCTACTTTGTGGCCAAGATCAGGGCTGTAGATGCAGATTCTGGTTACAATGCGCTGCTGTCTTACCACATCTCTGAACCCAAAGGAAACAATCTGTTCCGAATCGGAACCAGCAGCGGGGAGATCAGGACTAAGAGGAGAATGAGTGACAATGACCTGAAAACTCACCCGCTGGTCATTTTGGTTTGTGATAACGGAGAGCCCTCACTGTCAGCGACTGTGTCTATTGATGTTGTGGTTGTTGAAAGCGCAGGTGACGACAAGACCACATTCAGACACGCGCCGATAAAAGAGGAGAGTTTCTCGGATTTAAATCTGTATTTGCTGATCGCCATTGTGTGCGTGTCCGTCATCTTTTTACTGAGTCTCATCAGTTTGATGGCTGTGAAATGCCACAGGACAGACAGGAGTTTGGGCAGGTACAGCGCCCCGATGGTCACCACACACCCTGACGGGAGCTGGTCTTACTCCAAATCTGCTCAGCAGTATGACGTGTGTTTTAACTCGGACACACTGAAGAGTGACGTGGTGGTGTTCCCTGCGCCATTTCCGCCTGCAGATGCAGAACTGATCAGTATTAATGGAGGAGACACTTTTACCAGAACACAAACACTTCCTAACAAAGAAAAGGTAAGTCTTTCTAGGGACCTCTATTTGTCCAGTTAAAATATCCCTTTTTCTCTTCAGTTCCTATATGTGCTTTTATATAGTTCCAAGTCTTGTACTGAGTTCCTGACACCTCTGCAGAATCATGGGCCTTTTTAGATCGCCTGAGACTGAGAACTCTCCATGGTGCTGAAACACACTAATATTAAGTATAGTTTGAATCTGTCTGGCAACAATGTGCTGAATTGAGCAGTACTTTTTATGGTGCCTATGCTATACCAAATTTTATGTTTGGCCAAACTATACAGATCCGTTTCAAGGGTTTTTCTCATATTTGCAGCTGTATTTTATTTAAAGTTGTTTGTTTTGTTTTGTTTTCTCTTTATTGATTTTTTTTCTCCCCAGTTCTGGCCACTTGTATTATGCAGAAATGACTACGGTTGTTTCTAGGTCTGAACATAAGTCAGACGGCTGTCACGTGGAGCGGATTTGTCGTTGCCTGTGTCATGTTGGTTAAGGAGGCCATGCCCGGCTTCTGTGTTACTCTTGAATGATCTCTGGCACATAAACATAAAAAAAGGATGGTACTACTGAATTTGCCAATGCTATCTTACTGAACACATACACCCCCCCCCCCCCCCCCCGCCGCCTCCGACTCCCCCTGATCT